GTGCACTTGCCGAGGGTCGACGGCGCGCCTATTGATGCATCTATTTAATCTACCGAGGCGTTCGGCCTGTTCCAAAATAAACACATAGAGTCATTCATTCAAGAAGCCAACATGGGGCAATTATTCGAAGCAAAGCTAATTCTCTTTTAATAATTTAAGAAAGTGAGGTTCAGATCCAGTTAAAAATTCATTTACTATTTTAATGTGGTTTAAGCAATTCAACTATCCATAAGATTTCAAATATTCAAAGTATAGCATGCTTTTGGGTCCTAGACTACCCGGACAATAGCATAATAGTAGCTACGCACGGACTCTCGTCACCTCGTGCGTACGTAGCCCCCACAAATAGGAGCACATAATCAATTATTTCACCTATGGGGACAATTTCCTCTTGCAAGGTTAGAAAGGAGACTCACCTCGCTCCGAAGACTCATAACCGGCACTCTACATTCTTCCGAAGGCTCGAACCAACGCACAATGCTCCAAAACTAGCCAATGGTCATACAAATCCATTAATATATGCTCAATTAACTTTACAACCCAATTTGTAACGATTCCTAACTCCGAACAAAAAGTTAACAAAAATGCCCTCGGGCCCACGTGCCCGGAAATCCGAAATTTTTCGAAGATAAACTTTGCCCATGACCTTAGGAACTCAAATATATAATTTTCTCTTAATTCCATATCCGAAATCGTGGTCAAAATCCAAGAACACAAATTTTCTAGGTCTTCCTCTAACCCTCAATTCTACCCATTTACATGCTAAAATCTATACGTAATCAATGTATTTAACTCATAATAGGTGGGATTAGCTTACCTTAACATAGATGACGAAATCCCTTCTTGGAGCCCTCCAAAAATCGCCCCAACCTTGAAAAATATGAGAGAAATGGCAAGAATCCCGATTTTTAAGCAATCATTCTGCCCCTGCATTTTTCGCTTCTGTGGTGCCATTTCTGCTTCTGCGGAAACCGCTTTTGCGGTTTTGGGCCGCTTCTGCGGTTCTGGCACAATTTGGATGGACCGCTTCTGCGGTCTAATTTCCGCTTAAGCGGAACCGCTTCTGCAGTTTCATGACCGCTTCTGCGATTTTCCCCGGGCCTGCCCTTGGCCGCTTCTGCGAAGGCCTGACCGCTTCTGCGAATTCCTGACCGTATAAGCGGTCCCTACTTCCTTCACTCCCAACCGCTTCCGCGGTTCCTTCCTCGCTTCTACGGGGCCGCTTCTGCTGTCCCAATTCCGCAGAAGCAGAAATACCAGCAATCAACAACTTCCGTCTTCCAAATATTCCATTTTCGATCCGTTAACCACCCGGAATCCACCTGAGGCTCCCGAGACCACAACCAATCATACCAACCAGTCCCAAAACACATTACGGACTTGCTCGAGGCCTCATATCACATCAAACAACACGAAAATCACGAATTACACCCCGATTCAAACATTATGAACTTCGAACTTTCCAACTTCTACTTCCGATGCTTAAACCTATCAAATCATGTCCGATTGACCTCAAATTTTGCACACAAGTCATATTTGACTTTACAGACCTACTCCAACTTCCGGAATCAGATTTCGACCCCGATATCAAAAAGTCCACTTTCGGTCAAACTTCTCAAAAACCTTCAAATTTCTATCTTTAGCCAAACGACTTCAAAATGACCTACGGACCTCCGAATTCATTTCCAATCGCGCTCCCAACTCCAGAATCACCATACGGAGCTAGTCTCAGTCTCGGAATCCCAAACGGACATCGATAACGCTGAAATGCACTTCAAGTCAAACTTAAGAAATTTCTTCCAAAATGCTAACTTCCACAATAGGCACCAAAACGCTCCCGGGTTACCCAAAACTCGAACCGGGAATACGCCCCAGTCTGAAATAATCATACGAACCTTCTAGAACCTTCAGATCCCGATTCCGAGGTCGTTTACTCAGAAATCCAATCCTAGTTCATTCTTTCAACCTTAAGCTTCCGAAATGAGAATTCTCTTCCCAAATCGACTCCGAACTTCCCGAAATCAAATTCCGACCACGCGTAAAAGTCATAACACCTGAAATGAAGCTGCTCATGGCCTCAGACTGCTGAACGGCACGCTAGGGCTCAAAACGACGGTCGGGTCATTACAGGGTCCGGGGTCGATTTTTGAGTTTTTGGGAAGAATGCTTGGAAAGCTATAAATAGGCATTGGGTTCGCATTGTTTAGCATTTATTGATGTATTAAAGTCATTATCGTAGTGATACAATCGATTTGGAGCCGAATTCAATAGGGAAAGCGGTAAATTGAGGATTGATTTGGCCGTGAAAGTTTGAGGTAAGTGTTCGGTCTAACCTTAGCTTGAGGGATTAGGAGTTGAGTCATATTTGCTACTTGTTTTGTGTCGAGTACGACGTATAGGCATGGTGACGAGTATATTTACGTTGGTGTCAAGCATGACCGTGAGTCCTAAATTGCTATTTGTTGTATTTTCAAGTGCTCCTATGATAGCCTTGGTTACTGATTCTCGATACTGAGCAAGGATATAGTTTATTTCCGTGGACTTTAGTTATGACTGAGTTTTGGTATAAATTGTGATAAGTAGAAGTTGAATAAGATTGGTTATAGCTGAACCTCCCTTGCCGGGACATTTGTTCTGATATTTTTGTTCCCTTGTCGGGAAATCCTTATATTGTTTTGTTCCCTTACCGGAATTCTTATTGTGATATTGTGTTGGATCGAAATGGGAGCGGGTGGTACGGCTACCACAAGTTATTGATGAAATGGGAGCGGGCGGTACGCCTACCAAAAGACATGATAAAATGGGAGCGGGCGGTACGCCTACCACAAGAGATGATGAAATGGGAGTGGGTGGTACGCCTAGCACGAGATATGAGAAATGGGATCGGGTTGTACGCCTGCAACAGGATGAAATTGATAAAAAAAAGAAGAAGAAGTTGTTTTTATCTCTTTATTATGTGTTAGAAGTAGAAATGTAGTTTTCCCTTATTATTCCTGATATTCTGCTTTTATCTGCTACCCCGAAGCATGTTCCCCCTCCCAGCTTTAATTGTTTATTTCTTCTATTTTTCCGTTGTATTTGCATATATATATATATATATATATATATATATATATATATATATATATATATATATATATATATATATATATATGCACGGGTTTATCTGGAGTCTGGTCCTAGCCTCGTCTCTACTTCGCCGGGGTTAGGCCAGACACGTACCAGCACATGGGGTCGGTTGTGCTGATGCTACACTCTGTGCTCTTTTGCACAGATCCAGGTGTCGGAGCAACTTATGGTGCGCAGAAGTAGCCAGGGAGCAGTCCTTCGGTCCACGAGATCCCGAGGTAGTCCTGCATGCGTCCGTAGGCCCGACATCTCTTCTATCTTTTTTCTACCTTGTTTCCCTTGTACCGAGATAGAGATTTATTATATTGTTTCAGACTTTTGTATTTAGCATTCTTAGATGGTCCGTGAAATGTTGTGACACCACGTGCTGGGTAGAGACTTCTGTTGATGTTTTAGACGTTTTTTCTTTATTTAGTTTAGACTTCCGCTATCTTTTATTAATCGTCGTCTTTTAATTGCTTAGTCATCTATAATTTAAATTGTTTAATCATGTATAAAATGAGATAGGATAATGTTTGCAAAATATTCTTGGCTTGCCTAGCTTCCACGAGTAGGCGCCATCATGACTCCCGAGGGTGGGAATTCCGGATCGTGACATTAAAATCTTAACTAAATAAACCCAATGGGAAAAAATTATAGAGAAGGAAAAAGAGTACACATATCTAACAATACGCCTTTTGGTTGCCTCATTAAAAACCTTGCAAAGAAAACCCAGTTGGACTAAACCTTGTAAGGGAAAAAGAGTGCAACGCGCATTAACTCCCCTGATGAGAGAATCAATTCACATACTTAAGCCTTCGTATTCCGATCTTGTGCACTAGCTTCTTGAAGGTTGACATCAGCAGAGATTTGGTGAATAAATCACCCATATTAACTCCAATGAATATGTTGCACCTTGAAAATTCTCGCCATCATATTATCATCCTTATAGTTATAGCAAGATACATATGTGCGCAAATAGCATTTAGGATATGGTACTTCAGGACCAAGAATTGTATATGCTTTAAACGATTTAAATCATTCAAGGATTGTCATATAAGTATAGTCATATAATTCATATAATAGACTTTAATTAGATGCATATCAAGTTTTCATGTCATGCTAGACAAATTAAATATCGAAAACTGATTGCACATATCATTGACTTTATACTTTCAAGTGTTTGAACTACATGTCCAAAACTACATGTCTTTCATATTAAACCAATTCTATTTGAATTGTGTATCGTCTATTTGGACAATATTTTTGTGTCTGTCTCGACAGCCTTAAGATCCTCATCTATACTTAGCGCTATGATAGATGTCATCGACGAAATATTTTATATCGGTTCCAAAACTACATGTCTTTCATATCCTCATATTTTAAGGTAAAAAAATAATTTTTTTACTTGGGGGGTAGGGGGTA